TTTTTTTGCAAAAAAAATTATATCAGTGTAAGGTTTGCCGTAACTACTTTCTATATATCAACATTAAAAAAAAGTCAAAACCACCGACTTCGCTTTATAAACTTTTTATACTCGAGCTTGCAGAGCAGCAGCAGCACATCCATTCTTTACCTCGCACTTACAAACCACGAGAGCCCATGCATTAATTCATCTTTTTCTTGCAGTTTCGCCTTGTTCTATTTAATTAAAAAAATAGCATAAACTTTAGCGCAAACAAATGCAATTGATTTTAGATATTTCAACGACAATACATTCAACTAGACACAAACTCAGCCAGTATCTGGACCGGAAAATTTGGCATGTTTTGCCGTTCTATTCACTGACACAGCAAATCGCAATTCTTGTTCTCTAGCCGTCCATTAATGTTTCCACATTTACGAATAGACGAGTTTCTCCAGACTTTCCGCTTCCACATTTATAGACTCGTCGATCAATTTTAACTCGACCATCGTACACATTTTATATGGACGAAATCTGGGTCAACTTTGTCCACTATTCACGTCCATCCAGATCGTTGTTGTTTCAAAATGCCGTTTCAATTCGATCCTGTCCATGCATACTTAATGGATCGATGGTCAGATGTATTGAAGTTATGAATTTACATGCTTTGATTTCAATTATAAATTTTTAAGACAAGGATTTACTACAGAATTTTTCGCATAGATGACACATATTTATGTGGTGGCTTCTAGGGGGAAGTATATCGCCTCAAGGCCCGTTTGGAAAACTCCCATCAGGAGCAAGACAGCCTCCGCGAAGAACTCGAGAAAGCCCAATCGGCTACAGCCAAGCTGCATTCCGACAAAGACCGGGCTTATGCCGAACTCGAGAAGGCGAGTAGTGAATTTTCCGAATTGAAAAACTGAAAAACTGAGTTCAAATTTCAGATGAGGGAGGAACTGGAGCGTACTACGGCGACCTTGGGAAAGGCTCAACTGCAACAAGACAAGCTCCAGAACGCATACGACAAAGCGCAGACCGAAGTCGACAAGCTTCAAGAGAAACTCGACAAGTCCATTGGGGAGACCAGACGTGTAAGTTGGCTACTGAAAAATGGGTGAACTCGCTAAGTTTTGCGCCTTCCAGATCCAATTAGAAAAGGAAAAACTCGGATACGATTTAGAGAGTGTCCAGTCGCAATTGGACAAGGCTCTCGCCCAATCTGCTCGCTTACAGAAGGAAAAAGAACAAGCCCAGCTCGAAGCCGATCGGCTTAGAGATAAATACGAAAAGCTCCAGGTAAATCAGCCCTTTTCAACTAATAATCAGCAAACTGTAAATCTGGGGCGCCAAAGAAGTTCTCTTTACCTCAGCAACATCCTAAAATTTCAAACGATTTTGTCTAAAAAGTTCGCGAACTTTCCAGGGCACGGCGAACCGCCTGCAAAAGGAAAAGGACAGCTTCCAAGACGAATGCGAAAAACTGAAGGAACGATTGGACATGCAGCTAAATCAAGTTTCGAAAGTCCAACGGGAAAAGGCCGATGTGGAGACCGAGTTGGACGTGCTCAAAGAGCGGTGGGAGAAAGCGCACATGTTGCAGGTAACTCGGTGCCACTTTAGCGCTCCAACCTGGGGCTTAACTTAGGATGTACGAAACTAATTTTAATTTTCAGCAAAAACTGCAAGTCGAACGCGACGATGCGGTGACGGAAATCGATATTCTCAAGGAAAAACTGGACAAAGCCATTTACTCCTCACAAAAGGCCATTGACGAGCGCGAAAGTGCTCACAAAGAATTCGAGAAAGTCATTGAAAAATATGACCGGTAATAACAACAAGCTTAAAAAACTTCAACCAACCAAATCCCACTGTTTTCCAGGTCACAAAGCGATTTATATCGACTGCAAAACAAGCTGGACACCGTGCAGGCAGACAAAGAACGCCTGGAGCTGGAAATTGAAAAGCAACAGCTCGCCATGTCCAAATTCCGGGACGACCAGCGAAAGCTGCAAGAAGAGGGCCAAAGGCTCCAAGAGCTGTACGAAAGAGCGTCGATGCAACTCACCAGAAGCAAAGAGCTGGAGGAGAAGCACAAGGAAGAAGTGGAGCGGCTAAACATCGATTTGGAAATGGTAAGGGACCGATACGAAAAGGCCCAAATCGAGCTCAGGAGACTGCAGAGCGAACGGGAGAAGCTGCTATCGGACAACGAACGAATGCGGTTCGAAAACGAGCGAGCACAAGCACAGAGCACCAAGGCTCAATCGGCTTATGAAAAAGCCCAGGAAGACATTTCCAGGTAAGGAAAACTGCTTCTTTCCATTAGCATCAGAACCCTTTAACTTCAACCCGCTTCCAGATTGTCCATCGAAGTGGAAAAGCACAAAGACAAGCACGACAAGCTTCAGAACGAATTCAGGAAAGTCGTTGCTGAATACGACCATCTGCGCGAGACAACTGGAGCTGGCGGAAGAGAGAGCCGATACAGCAGGTATTTTTTGGCCTCCCCCCATCCTCTGGTGGCCTCATTTTCCTCAAACTCTCCAGGTATGACAGAGAAGACTCCAGATCCAAAGAGGACAACGACCGGTTACGATCAGAAATCGATCGACTCCGTGAGCGCCTAGACAAGACCCTCGGCGATCTGGACAAGAGCAGAAAAGAGCTCGCCCTGGTCGAGAGCACGCGCAGCAAGTTCGGCTTCGAGGAGAAGGAAAAACTGGCCGAAATGGAGCGGTACAAGGACGAACTTCAACGAACACTGACCAAGTAGGCTGCGCTAAACCACTTGCAGCTTCGCCTGCTAAAATCGGGCTTCCACCTTCCAGCAATCAGCAGCTGGAGACCAAGCTGCACGAGGCGAGCATGCAGCTGGACTTGGCCAGGCAAGATGTGGCCAAAGCGCAGGCCACTCAGGAGAAGCAGCGCATGGAGCTGGAAAGAGCGGTTATTGAGCTGGAGAAGCTGCGCGACCGCTATGAGAAGCTAAAAGCCCAATGCGAAAAAATGGAGAAAGACAGCGAGAAGATTCGAATGGAGGCGGCGCAGCAAGAGCGCAGGCAAGTGCTGGCCGCTGATAAAGTGCGGAACGACGAACGCCTGGAAATCGAACGACTGAAGGACAAACTGGAAAAAATGATCCAAGCCCGAAACGCCACGGAAATGGAAGCCGGACGACTTGCCCAAGAACTAGAGAAGTCTCAGTTGCACCTAACAAAGGTAGATTCCATCACTTTCAACCACTAGACCGAGCTAAACTCCCATTTCAGGCCTTGGAGACCAACGAAGCAACGAAGATCGAGTACGAGAGAATGGCAACTGAACTGGCGCGAATGCACGAGCGTCTGGAAAGAGACAAGTTGGACTGGAAAACGCTGGAGCAAGAGCGAGACGTGCTGAGAGCTGAGCTGCAGCAGGTGAGGAGCGGGATGGACACGCAGCGCCGCACCATCGACCATCGAACCCAAGAGACGCTCATCAAGCTGCAGCAGGAGCTGGCGCAGTCCAACAGGGAGAGAGATAAAATGGCCTCCATGCTGGACAAACAGGGCAGACAAGGTAATAAATCCATCCCCAGCAACCCTACTAGCCAACATTTGCTCTCCATCAGGCGAATCCATCGAGAAGCAGATCATGAAGTACGAAGCGGACATTAAACAGCTAACGATGGAAAGAGACCAACTGGTCATCCAGCTGGAAAAGTCCCAGGACATGTTGATGAACTTCCAGCAAGAGTTGAATCACAGTGAAGCCGAGCTGGAGAAGCACAAGCAGGAGGTGAACCGATTGAAAACCGAGCAGAAGCGGATGTCGCAAGACGTGGAAAAAGGTTCGTTGCGACCACTTCTGTTAATGTCCATTAAAACTTGCGTGCTTAAAGGGACCAAGGACGTCCTGGAGAACCGGGACAGAGAAATTGCCAATCTGCGCCAGCAGCTGCAGCAGGCCCAAAAAGAAAGGGACGCGCACAAGCAAAGGGCTGAAAAGGCGGAGAAAATGGTCCATGAATCGGGGACGCGGGATGATGCTGAGCTGGAACAGTGGCGAAACGTTATCGAGCAGGAGACCAAGCGGGCCGATCAGGCGGAGAAAACGTCCCAAGACCTGCAGAAGAGGATCCAGGTCAACCCCGCCGAATCCCTCTAAGGAGAGCACTTCAATTCCCCGTTCCAGGTGATGGAGAAGCAGCTGCAGCAGCAGCTGAACCAGATGGCGCAGTACCAGCGCGAAAGAGGAATCCAGCCGCCCCCACAGGACGACAAAGAGGTTCTCCGTCTGAGGAAGGAGCTGGAGAAGGCGCAAAGCGACGTGAAGAACTTCGCCACTGAGAAGGAGCGCCTTCAAGCGCAGCTGGAGATGCTGGTCCAGGAGCTGGAGAAGAATCAGGTAACGACTCGCGTCCATCCTCTTCCACACCCATAGATCTTTACAACTTGTTAAATTTTAGGTGCATCCTCCAGCGATGAAAACTGGAAAAAAACGTCATTATTCGCACAATATCGTAGTTTTTCTTTAACAGTCAACTCACGACTAACAACCCGCGCTCCCCCTTAAAACGTTTCTCTTTAATAATCCTAAGCTGATGCCGAATACGTTTCAGGTGGAGCTTCACGAAGCTACCAAAAAGCTCCAAATGGCCCCGCAACGGCCCGCCGAAGACCTTTCCGGCCAAAGGAAGCAACTGGAGGACGAGCGACGAAAGATCGAAGAAGCCAAACGGCAGTTGGAGGAGCAGAAACGAAGCGCCGAAACCAAACATCGGCAAGTTGAAGAGAAAGAGCGTCAGTTAGCCGAATTAGATAGACAATTACAGAAACAGCAGCAACAAATGGACCAATTGCAAGCCTCCTTGCAGAAGGTATGTGGGTGCATTCGGTCTTCGCGGTGTTAATGATGGTTGAATGCAGGCTGGAGGCACGGCAGCCGCTGCCACTGAACTGACCAAAAAGCTCAGCGACGCTGAGAAGAAGGTGGAACAAGCTCAGGAGGAAGCAAAGCGATCGGCCACTGAGATGGAGCGACTGTTGCAGTTGGTGCAGATGAGCCAAGAGGAGCAGAACCAGAAGGAGAAGCAGATAATGGAGCTGCAGCAGTAAGTGGTCGAGCACGCTTAATAAATTCTCGCATTGTCCAATTTGGCTTTTCAGAGCGCTGAAAAATGCACAGACCAAACTACGGCAAACGCAGCAAGCGCAGACGCAAGAGGTAATGTTTCCCCAACTATCCATTAACCAACTAACAGAGTTAATTTCCTTTCCATGATAACCCCTGGACGCGTACGTATGCAACACTAATAATCCCCTGACTGAATCGTCTTGGCTTCCCCAGGCTGGACCTGCTGGCTTCCTCAAAAGCTTCTTCTAAACCCCACTTTGTATATCACATAGCATAATCAATCTCCCATACTCAAATTTAGCCTCATTCCTCAAAATTGATTGTTTTGCTTTGAAGCGCTTAGTATAGAATTGTCGGTAAAATTAATTCTGCCCTTGTTTGCCTATGTGTTAGAGCGAAATACACGAACGAACAGAACTAGATTTAAGAAGCCAGAAGGAGGCGATTAGATTGCAGTTGGATCTAGCTGAGAACCAACTTGAAGAGCAGAGAACCCGTTTGGAGGCCCTAAAATTAGAGGTAGGCGCCAAGGACGAGATAATCTTGAGGTTGGACGATGGCGACACAAACAATAACGACGGAGTCGCTCCGGAGGATAAAAACCTTATCAGAAATGGCATATCAAAGCGACTAAGTAGAAACGATTGCGGAAACGTGGATAAAACCAAGCAAAGTAGTGAAATAGATTACCATGCAGCTAGAATAAGGGAACTAGAAGGTGTGATAGAGGATAAAGAGGGAAGAATTCTCCAGTTGGAAGATGGGCTGAGGGAGAGTGTGCAGATTTCCACTGAGCGAGAGCACGTTCTGCTGAAGGAGGAGACCAAACGGAGACAGATCATGCAAAAAGTGCGTAGACCAAATTTCAAAACTGTACACTTTTGTCATTGATTCTGCAGGTTGGAAAGCTGGAACAACGACTGCTGTCTCTTCAATCAGCGCAAGCGATGAGGTGCCACAATTGCAAACCTTACGTGAGAAGAACGTGCCTTCTTGAGGAGAAACTGTTAAAGCTGATAGCGGAAAGGAGGAAAAACCTGCAGGAGCTGGCACACATGAAGTAAGAAACCAGTATTATTATTTGGAATTGCGCGAATTCAGGGCAATGAACGCACTTTAGGAGGGAAGCTTTGGAAGCAGCGATCAGCGAAAAGGACTCTCATTTGGCCATTTTGGAAATGACGGGAATACGAAACGCCCGGCAAGCTGAAGAGGCCGATAATCTCAAGCTGGATAAGAAGAGGCTGGTCGAAATGCTCAAAAAAGAGGTAAACGATTCAAGCCCAACAATCATATGAAAATTAAATTTTGCCTTCATAATTTGAATGTTATTAATAATTTGCTTCAGGCTGAATCAAGCGTTTCGCTGCTCGAAGAATCAGCTATCGAAGACGAATTGTCGCTCGACTTGGTAAAGGAAGAGCAGCATCCCGAACAGCTTAGCTAAGTGTTGGGCTAAAAATATTCTCTAATTGATTAGTGTTTAACGAGAACACACCATACGACCTAACCGTAGTGTATTTAAGCATTTAAAGAAATATTAGCTTAAGATATATGATCTCAGCAATAAGAAGGTATTCAATGAACAATTATATCGGCCGTTCGCGGTCAACGTTTCTCACTGCCTATTGTGTATATTCAATTAATTATATACATTGTTAATTAAGCTCTTAGTGCAAAGGAACGTTCATTAAGTCATTACTGTGAATGTGTTATAGTTGCTGTTAATATTTCGACGTTAGATATGACAATAATGTACGGGGGAATGGGGCATTATTATTTAAGGGCCCATTAGAAATTCGACTTTTTGCGGAATAGCATTGTTCCCTTCAAGTTTTATCTACAAACCGCTGGGCTGTAAAAAGGAGTTTATAGATTTTACTTATAGAACAATTTATTCGGTAATACAAAGCATTGTACATGCCATTTATTGTTTAGAAATCATCTTAGCATTAAGTTGTGATTCGCAATTAAGTTAGGAAAAGCAAATTGGACGGATCACAGCACATTTATAACCGAATCTAGTTGTGAAGGGTAATTCCGATTATTTTCCGTCAATATATTTTCGATTAATTATGTGCGTTCTGTTATTTTAACTGGACTTTTTACTAACTCATCAAACGAAAACGGAAAGTTTCAGTGCTACTTCTATGACCAATATTAACCAATCACTTTTCCAATATATCTGTTTGCAAACCATCATCACGCCTTTACTCTGCTGATCAAAGCTTCATACAAATTCTAGCAAGAAAATATAAATCGCGCATTAGATCACGAATGCTTAGTTGAAAATCCTAGAATAATGAAAATATGACGGTTCAAAATATGAACTACTAAAAAACTAGATGTTTTGGACTGTTGTACTGTATATTTTTTTCAATTCATATCATAGCAAATGTTGTACAATAGGCCGAGAAAACACTGCCATTCACTCGTGCCATTAAAGCTTAACGAATCGCGATAGAAGCCCGAGGCAATAATTACCAGAAAAGTGCTTAAATTCCGCAACATCACGATGATTTTGTTAATTGTTGTGTTGGGCTTGCGCAACCAACATTTTTTATAACATTTTTCAAATTTCAAACGATCGCTGCCTGCAAAAAACTAGTAAAATCAAATAAAGATGTTATAAAGAAATTAAGCTTTAAGTTATTAAAGTTAATAAATGTACATTAAATCTAGATTATCCAACAGTGTTTAGCAGGTAACGGTAAAGGATTATTGTAAAATAAAAATACTAATTAATCGTCTGAAAATACATGTTATAGATGAATAAATAGGCGCCTGAAAAGGATTCCGTTTGATTATTATAGTAAACGATGCAAAGAACAAAACTGCTTCCAATTACACGAAAGCGACTGATCAATAAAAATTCTACCTAAATGATTTCCGGATTTGCATTTGTTCCAATGTTTTCTTTTGCCGCGTAGATTTTTAATTTTTTAGGTCTCCACTAGTCTAAGAATATTATAATAATAATAATAATAATTCGAACTGAATGAATAATTTCATCGCATACCTTAGAATAAGTTAGCATAGTAGGACTTAAGTGTTACATGAATTTTCCTGTCCTCTATCATTACGAGATTGTTTAGAATTAATGCCCGACTTTCATATATTCAAGCCCCGGCTAGTTTTCCTATTAAGGAAATGTTAATCTGGAGTTTTACAAATTAATTGAATATTTGAAACTTCCGGACAACTTTAGACTTTCTTAATCAATAACTCACACTTATCACCTGACATATCTCATATAAATCTTATTAAAAGTTGCTTTTTATAACATGATTATAAAATTAAAAATTAAGAGAACTTGGGCTAGAAGATAAATAAATCGTGGTGGAAAATTTGATATTTGCTGTTCAAAAAAGGCTTTATAAACACGTATAAAAATCTGCTTGAATCGTTCCTGTCTAAGATTATCAAGTGCAAAAGTATCAGTGTAAAAAAACCCGTTCTGAGCGGAAGATAAAAGAGCAAATTCGCACCTTGGTTTTTATCAAATTTTTTGACCATCGTAGTATAATAAGGTGTTAATATTGACTAGTTATCTAATTTCCCGAGTCTTCATTTTTAAACACACGCTGTTGTATACATAATATGTTATAATGAACGATGTGAAATGAAAAGAACATTTTAAAATGCATTACTCTGAAGTTTTATTCAACCAGTTTTTACTCACTGCAGTTTGTCTAACGGAAGTTTTCATAATCAGTTTTAAAAAAAACCGTTTAAGCTTCATTTTAAGGCCAAGTTTATTTTCATTTGATTAAAAAAATGGATGCAAATTGGGGAGSTTTKTMCAASTRMCATGGAAAGCTTTGCCCAWCTGCCACGCCCATTTAACCCATTGGCACTACTTAGAMAGTTTTGTAAAAATACKGAAAACTGCAGCAATTACTTTTAAAAGTTTTTGTCTACATAACAAATTTCGATAGGAAATTATATGCAAAATTAATAAATTATTATAAATTAAAAACTATTTTCACTGCACATGAGATTCGCTTCCAAATGTTTAATTGTGATWTAARACAAAATGCAGTGCAAAAACATARCAATTTTRAACATTTGTGTGCCGAAAAGAAATTTATATTWAAAARAAATTACTAGGACGCCTATGAAACAGCCTTCAGTGTTACGCCCATGGCAAACGTCAAACGATTCTGTTTGTCACTGTCAGATAGCGGCTTGTTTTGGTTTTGAATGATTGGCAACTAATTCTCCTTAACACATTTTGTGAAGATTTTTAGCCCTTTAAGTGGATTCTTTGCACGGATTCTTCAATTATTAAGTAAGTGAGTAGTCGATTTTCAGCTAACACAGGCACACACTGCTTGCTGTGAAGTTCACGTAACACAAATGCAAAATCATCATCGATCTAACCTCAAAAGTTTATGAAAAATCCTTATTTTTTCGGGTTTTCAGCAATGTTTCTTACAAGAAGTGAATACGACCGTGGTGTAAACACGTTCTCCCCTGAGGGCCGTCTGTTTCAAGTCGAATATGCCATCGAGGCGATTAAACTGGGGTCCACAGCTATTGGCATCAGTACTAATCAAGGGGTGGTACTGGCTGTTGAAAAAAGAATCACATCGAATTTAATGGAACCCACCACTATTGAGAAGATTGTGGAGGTTGATAAGCATATTGGCTGCGCAGTTTCGGGGCTAATAGCTGATTCTAGGACCATGATCGAACGGTATGAGCAGTCCCTAAAGAATGTGCTAAAACCCTTAACTCTATTTTTGGAAATTGTCCATTCAGGGCTCGTATGGAATGCCAGAATCATTGGTTTGTTTACAACGAAAACATGAGCGTAGAATCGTGCGCTCAGGCAGTTTCAAACCTGGCCATCCAATTTGGGGACTCTGATGATGACGGGGCTGCCATGTCGAGGCCTTTTGGGGTAGCAATTCTCTTTGCGGGCATTGATGAAAAAGGCCCCCAACTTTACCACATGGACCCTTCCGGTATGGTGTTAGGGCTTTAAAAATTGGATCAAAACCCAAAGATCTTTTATCTTTTCCAGGCACTTTTGTTCAGTTCGATGCGAAAGCCATCGGGTCCGGCTCGGAAGGGGCTCAGCAGAGCTTGCAAGAGGTTTATCATCGTAGCATGACATTGGACGAAGCCACAACCTCAGCTCTGACTATTCTAAAGCAGGTGATGGAGGAAAAATTGAATTCCTCCAATGTCGAAGTCATGACAATGACCCCCGATAAAATGTTCCAAATGTTTAGCAAGGAACAGGTAGAAGAGGTAATTTCTAAACTGACTTAGTGGTGGTATCACTTGGTTACTTATTGTATAAGCTTCAACTGCATTGTGCTAAGGTATTAAATTGGAATAAAGATGGTTTCACAGGTATACGCCTATTTATCGCCTGTGAGGACTACAGTCCTCAAGTCCATTTCCTTGATATAACTTTTATTTTCCAGGTAATTCAAGGAATATTCCATGTAGAGCATCCTTTGTCCTTAAATACCACCGGACAGAAAGTTTAATCCATCTAACCCCAACCCTGCCGCATAATTCAAAGATTAACCACGTGTGTGTTTAACATGCTTTTGCTTTTCATTTGCACTATTTTCAACTATAGTTTATTTCAAAATATATGGCTTTCATTTTGGATTTTGTTTGATTTTAGTGCATAGTTTTAGAATGGGAATGTTTGTTGCTTGGGGGTGGAAACTGCGTATGTTGAATATTTTATGATTTTTCTTGACTAAAAGGTGTGTTTGGTTTTTTAATTTCCATTTGAAACTCTCAAAAGAGCTGTTAAATGCTCGATCCAGTGCTCTAGCTCAAACTGATTCTGCAAAATGCGCGAAAAGGTGGTTTCAGAACTAAATTTGCTGCGGAAATAATAATATTCTAAGACTGCCACCCGATATGAGGCAGTTTTGATACTATTGGCAAGCATACCATTCATACTAAACGTTTCCAGATTACTTCTATATTTATTTCATTATCGCGCACTAATTCAACTTACAGTCATGTTATTATCCGAGGGTCGTAAATAACAAAACCAGCTTATCCTTTCACTTTGGCGAATAATAAAAATAACCGTTTGTGTCCATTTCAATGGAGCAAGACGATACAAATCGGCGTTGTCGAAAGGTGCCCTTTAACAAGCTCTAAATTATTTTAATCATAACATTTGGCCAAAGTTATAAATAAAACCGCATTGCGATGTTATTAGGACGTTTACCAGATATCGACCGACGATACGTTAATTTAAAACCGAGGGTCTCGATGATTTAAACGGCAATTTGTCTCATCTTCTGTTACCTCCATACACACCTGTTTCGGCTCAAAACGGCTTATTTATTTGTGGATTTTTGCGCTTGATTGAGTTCTATAGTTTCTGGTCGAGATTTTATGTAGGTACTTAAGTCGGGAGGAAATGGAACGCTTATCGAAAGCTGAACCAAAAAAAAGCACATAGAACTGCGTCACATTGATCTGAACGATCAAACCAAAAAAGGGATGTAATTATTGCACATTAATCGTGTAGTGAAAGTAAGTTGAGATTCCATCACAATATCTGGTTCCAATGTTATTTAATTCGTTCGCTATAAGTGGACCAGAAATCGCGCAATATGGGATGCGTGTCTTCGGGTTTGCGCGATCTTTAACGTGTTGAGAAATCCTAATTGACCACATAATGGCTAATTAATGATAGTCGATCAGGGATTAAAGAGCAGTTTCACAAGTACTAAACCAGTTTAATAGTATTATATAAATTCAGGTGAACTACATTGATTTTTTTAAATATTATCTCATTGCGACTAAGACGATTTTGCCACGCGCTGTATATTCGCATTTCATTACAATTAATCAGGGTCACGCTTATGTAATGCGGCATTTGCATTCAGGCCGAACCTGAGTAGGAAAATGCTTAAAAATATGATGGAAGGTTGATCAGTTGACTATTTTCAACAGTTCATACCTACATAAGATGAGAATCGGTTGATAAGTTCTATATTGTTGAGGCGGATTCATTTTTTTACAAACTTCTTTTTAGGTATTTCGCCTCAAAAATTTTTGTCTATAAAAAGACAGAATTTCCTCACGTCTTTTATTACAGATTGATAAATAGTGCTCCTACTTCGCAATAAGAACGAATTATTTATCAAAAAGTAATCAAGAACTATCACCTAGAGGGTATCCTGCGACACACTTAGGCTCAAGCTGTAAGAGAAAATTCCAATTAGTAAAGAAATTAATTTGTAAAATTACCTTGACGTTTCGATAGCTATTTTCTGCTGCTAAATAATTCTAATGCTAAATATATGCCAAGGCTTAAAGTAGCAACAACGCTACACATAGAAACTGATGATGGTGGAAAACACCGAAACATATTTTAATTGATAAAAAGACAATAAATGACTGAAGCCCAGGAATTGATTTTGATTTGGAATAAAATTTATTGCATTCTCAAGGAATTTTATAAATTACATTTTTTGTATTTTCAATTATATCATGAGGTTTTGTTACTGAAATTTTACTTCTAATTG